GACAACTCAGATGTGAAAACATATTTCACAATTAAGACAGTCAGACTCATTAAAGAGAGGCCTGGAGGCAATGGAGAGAAGCGAGGCACACAAGCCAAACGCTTCACAGATGAAACACTGTTCGTAGATGTCTGTTTTTATTAACTAGCCCTGCTGTGACTCCGTGGCTCAGACTAGAAGACCAAATCACGGAGCCTGCAAGTGTAATTGCACACGTGCATTCATTTTGTCATATGCAGTGTTGCTAACATCCAAAAATAATAATAGTTTCCTCTCTGTTACCATTCGAAGGGTTGTTTGTGAAAGCTACATTTACTTCATTGTTTTTCCTTGTTGTTTTACATTCAGCCGGTTAGTTTAAGTGAACAAATTCTTCTTTTCAGGGCTCGATTTGAGAGGAAATGCAGAGGAATGCCTGGGGAATCTCTGTAATTAAAGAAATCACAAAAACTTTTCTTGTAAAACTGTCATCGCTTCTCTGTTTCTTTCAGCTTGATATCATTATATCAGTCAAAATATCTGTCTATTATTGATACTTTAATTCCAACTGTGAGATTTAAATGCCATATTACCTTGGATGTACCTTGGCTGTATCTTCATGTTATTATTAGGGTAAAGCCCACAGTCACTGCACAGGAGGAAGTTATGGAGAAATACACACTTTTCATTGATATTGCAATGGAGTGTTTAACAGTGCAGTTTTAACCTTCATGGCAAAATGAATTTTATACAGCTTTAACAAAATGTGTCGAAAAAGGAAAGGTATGAAAAAGAAAAACTAATGACTTTGCCAGCTAGACTTTCTGGCATCTACCAGGATAATACTGGTGGGTCCCTGAAGAAGAAGAAGAAGAAGAAACAACAACAACAACAACAACAACAACAATAATAAATGATTTAATCACCGCACTCATCTTATTAGTATATCAATAGACAGCATGTATTATCTAAATTTATAAAACATTAAACTTTAAACTAAGGCTTGGGGGTAAAACTTCATACAGCATATGGAACCCAAAAAGCTCACTTCACACCTGCTTCATCCTGTACAGATTTGTCCTCTTGCTATGTTTGAATAAGTGTCTCATCCTTTCAAGTTGAGCCAAGTACTAATGCAGTCTGTTTAACGCTGAACACAGCTATGGAGAAGGGTGGAAAGGGAGGGTGGACGGTGAAGAGGTGACAGATTCTTTTCCCCTCAGTAAGCCTCGGAAATAAATCTCCTGCCTCTCTGTTTGACTTTTTGATGAGAAAGTGTTGTGCAATAATGCAATTCTGAAAGGAAAAGGCACTTAGGAGCCTGAGAGGTGGATTAGCAATTTGTACAAGCTATGTATAACCATAAATCGCGGACTATCGGGCCAGCGTTGTCTTTGATAGGGGGATGTTTGAGTTCCATGGAGCCTGCTTCGATCTGAAATGCAATATCCAGGCAGAAACAGCTGTTTCAATACTGCACAAAAAATATATGGTGCAAGGGGTGAAGGGGCGGGGAGAAAGAAAACGTAAGAAGCAGAAAAAGCGATGCATGTCCAGACATGACCTTATCAAAGTGACTGGAGTCCTTTGCTTATTGCCCAGAACCAATTTGAGCTGACCAAACGCAGCGGGTACATCACGGGGAGGTAAAAGGACAGATTTCTCTCTTCTCCACCCCCTCCTTCTTCCTCTCCTTTGCTTACAGAGGGCCAGAAGTGGCTGAAGATTAGCATATGACATGACAGATTACATTAAATCACATCGTTGCAGTGCTTTATGGCATTAGCCTCTTAGCCCAGGCAGCTAGGCACATGCAAATGCAGCTTTGAAAGCCCTTCTTACTTAAATCTGCTGAGTGACATGACACCTTTGATATGATTATTAGCACGCCGCAGGAAAGGGAGAGGAATTCAGACAGTTCTGAACAAAGATTTCCATGAGCTGATGAACACAGCAGCCCATTACTACTTCAGTCTTTTATGGCTCAAGAACCATGTACCTATAGACTAAAGCTTCATTATGTTTTCAATGGCACAATCGTTTTCCACAGGCATGGTCAACATGTTGGATGTTAACCTTGTTTCTTGAAAGCAATATTAAAGCACTGTAAAAGTGACTATTCTAGTAACTTAAATATTGCTTTCGCCTTCATTTTCCATCCAAATAGCTCATTCTGTGAGTGACTCAACTAATGATTCAAGCCACTGAATCATTATGGCTTCAAAAAATCCCACTTTAACGTCCTATTTCCTCTGCTTATGATTCAGACAAAACTAGCATTGTTGCATTCAGTCCATTCGTTTTGACATTCTCTTACATAACAATGTATCACATTTCATTCCATATAAATCAATTGGCGTCGTCCTGCTTGGTTCTCTCATACACAGAGTGTGTTGTGTGTGTGTGTTTGACCTGGATTTCAGCTCCTCTTCCCCAATTATTCAGAATGTGACAGCAGAAGCCCTCTGCCCCTCCACAGTGTCTTCCAAGTGTTCGCTGGTCTTTAATCTTAATTATAAAGCTATCATTACGGCGCAGACATGCGTCTGCCGGTAGCATGGCTGTGGGCGTCCATGCTCAGAATCAATCACGCCCTGGGAAGGTTCGGCCATGGAGCTTTCTTCTCCTTTCATTTATTCTTGTTTCAATTTTCATAATTGCTGCTGTCCTCACACTTATAGACTGCACACACACACGCACACAGCCCTCGCAGGCTCGGGTGGTTTCAGATATTTTGTCGCATCCTGGACGTTCACTTAAGTGGGAATAAAAGGATCTCACCTCATTTTTGAGAGTTACATGGATAGGGGTTGGTTCACAAACATGAGTAGTAAGATTTCTTTGATGGGTGCTGTATAATCCAGCTGTGTGACTGCTGTTTGTGTTTGTTCCATCACGGCCTAATCATGTTTCTGAAAGAGGGCTGGATGTGTCACTAAGAGAGCATGCATTTGGAAGTGAAGTCAGATGATGTAGTTAAGCACAACATGGCAGAGTGCATTAGTGTCTCTGCGCCAATTTATGAAAGTAGAAGAAAAAGCCCAGCAGAGCAGAAAGCGACAGAGTGCTATTCATCATTCAGCATTATGCTGTTTTTATTTAATTCATGCACAAATCACTCTCCAGCGACCGTCGACAAGGGCTAAAATCTCCTAACATGGAGAGTGTTGCTCCTAACAGTACTTTCACACCTTATTAGATATATTTGAGATGGAAAAAAGGACAAAAGCTTGCCAAACTGTCAAGGTCCTGCAAGTCATCTGAATTCTACATAATTCAAGATGGCTGCCTGTAGCACTTGGATTTGAATGTACGAGGACATGGTGTGTGGCTAATTTCTTGAAAGCTCACTTGCTAACCTGAGTAACCGAGGCGGTGAAATTTAGGAGCAGTGAAGTTGTCAGGACTGCATTAGAGGAGCTGATCAAAGGCCTTCGTCAGGCCAGCCTCACCAGAGCCTCCGATGACTCTGATCCCTCTGCCAACAGACTTGTTTTACTGTTAAGGCAGCTTTATGTTTGAATTTTATGTGCCAATTAATTAGGTGCTTTCTAATATATGTCGAGAGAACTGTAAACTATTTAGAGTGGGCTAAAGGCAGAGAGATCTGCACTAAAGTTCTCTTGATTTATGACAGCCAATGTTCACATTCAGTAAGCAAGAGACAGCTGAGAGTGCATGCTTGCCGCACGGAAAGCACTCCACACTAGGAGGAAGGATTAAAATGACTTCCATTGAAGTCTAAATATTTAATTTCTTAATAGAGGACATTAATTTTAGAAGAACTGTGAGGACATTAATGAGGCTAATGCAGAGTGGCATGCCCCATGACGTTAATTTGATAGGGAAAAAGGCAATCTGAATTCTGTGATGTGGCTGTCCATAACACTCTGAGCTTTTTTGCTTTGGATGTGAAAATTTATTTTCTCCTGCAATCACCTAATATATGTAAAAATTCCAATGACTGAGATTGATTTAGCTGTTTTTGTATAAGCTGTACGAATTACTGCAAGTGCTAACCCTACCCTTCACCTAAACTAATATTTGTATTTTATTTTGTTCGGCAGTCACTTTTATAAAAATCATTTTATGGCAGGATTACAATCCAAGCATCCAGCTAATCAGTTGAGGCTTAATAGCTTTGCTTAAGGGGACAAAAATGACTCTCTGCAAGACCTGCGATTTGAATTCTCAACCTTGCAGTTAAGGCCAACATTTTATGTACACATGGACTAAAGAAATTCAATCTCAGTTTTTCACAACTCCATACATTTCATGTTACTATAATTTCTTTTGGCAAGTCAATTCATACAACCAAAGTTATAACAAAATCGCTTAAAGAAAATGGCAAAAAAAAAAGAAACTGGTTAAAAATTCCAGCAAAGTATTGTGAGAAGCTTGTAGAAGGCTACCCCAAACACTGAATTCAGGTTAAGCAACCAAAAGGCAGTGCCACCAAATCATAGCAAAGTGTATGTAAACTTCTGACAAACTGAAAATCTGATATAGTAAATAAAAGCTCAAATAAATCTGTCACTTAACTAAGATTTTGAAACGACCTCTTATGCAAATAAAGTAGATTCCCTAATTGATTTAACACAGGAAATGTATGGTAACATGAAATGTGTGGAGTTGTTAAAAATTGAGTTTGAATGTTTTTAGCCTAAGTGTATGTAAACTTTTGGCCCAACTGTATAGTCACCACCCCAGAACCTTAAATACTGAGCAACGACTGTACCTTGATCCTAGCCATATAAAACTTCATATATTGGCTTGTGTAAATTCTTAAAAATTTGTGAAACCATAACCATAACCATAACCATAACCATTCATTCATTTCCTGTACTGCTGTACACAGGGTTGCCTATCCCAGGGGACTTGGGGCACAGGGTGGGGGACAGCCTGGATGGGGTGCCAATTGCGCACACACGCTGGAAATGCCAATCATCCTACAATGCATGTCTTTGGATGGGGAGGAAACCTGTGAATTATGGGGAGAACATGCAGGATCTGCACACACAGAGCAGAGGTGGGAATTGAACCCCCAACACTACAGGTGTGAGGCAACAGTGCTAACCATTATGCCACTATACCCCCCTGTGAGACCATATTTCCTACAAATGTCAAGTGGAAAAAAATCTCTTTTGGAGCCTGAGAAATTAACAGATTAAATAAAATAAACAAATTAAATATGACACAATGACAAATATTCAACCTTTGGAAATGTAGGAATAACAAACACAATAAAAGTCATTTTGATCATGCAGATATTTTCCATTAGTCTCTTTCTTTCTTAGTGCAAACTATACAGTATGTTTCAGTATATTTGGTTAGAGTATAGAGTATAGGATGTATAGTATACAGTTTAGGACAATCTGTTACTAGACTGAAAACATTTTTTTTTTCATTAAATAAGAGAATTCCTGTAATCATACCATGTGGCAATGCATTAATAAAATAATGAATATATTTGATAAATGTTAAAAATAAAAGGTAAAAAACAGGCATGAATAATTTCATTAATTGGATGTTTATTTCGAAGACATTTTTTGCCAACGTTCTGGGTGTGAAGAATCATTTGGATTCAAGCCCCTAAAACTTGGCTTGGTTGACATGAAATGCTCAAACTTGACACTGAATGTATGTGACAGCTTGATGCTAATGTTGGTGGCATAAGCCAAGCTATATATAAAATTCCTTGAAAAAACATGGGAGGGAAACATCACCTCAGATGGTGTGAGTGGGAACTGATACCTAATAATGCTTAACACGTTCACCTTCATTAGAAATTCACATAGCTGTTCTGTTAAAGAGGAAAGGGGAAAAATAAGACATTTATCACACAATGTCACACAAGATTTGGAATTCAAAAGAGGTATAACAGTTTTGTTAAATATCTTCCTAACCCCTCACCCTAAATCTAACCATGCATAACTATACATATGAGTTGGTTTCTGCAGATTCTTATAAATTTGATTGATTGACTTATTATCTGATTGGGTCCAGGGTCCCTGGGTCAATTCTGAGCTCCAGTTACTGTCTGTACAGAGTTTCACATGTTCTCCCCACGCATGTGTGGGTTTCCTTTGGGTTCTGTGTTTTCTTCCCAACTCCCAAAAACATGGTAGGTGAACTGGTGACTCTAAATTGTCCCTGGGTTTGAAGGAGTATGTGAATGTGTGCGTGTACCCTGCAATGGATTGGTGTCCCATCCACAGTGTATGCCAACCTTGAGTCCAGTGTTCCTAGGATAGGCTCTGGATCCAAGTGGTTACTGAAGAACTGAAGTTACTGATTGAATGAATGGTTTCAATAACCATCACTGTGGAATTTTTAAATGAATGATCTTCCATCAAACAGTAGTAATCTAAACATGTACTAAATTGGACAATACAATGAACTCCAAATCTGAAACTGCCCCAGCTAAATTTGACAGGGCTTCTGCTGTAGCAGAAGAAAAAAAAAGCGCAGATATGTAGGCCTATAGATTGTTTAGCTGTATATGTGTCTTTCATACAGAACAAGGAGACTATCAAAAGCACACACACAAACAGACACACAAAGCACGATATAAGATTGGATACAACAGTGAAGTGAAACCGATTTAACATCCAAAGAGGACATGTTGAGACAGATATCTATCAAAGGTTTATTTGCCGGATAACACATTGGGACAAAAAATAATGTGTGATGGTTCTCAGGTTCTTCTGTTTTGCTATAGTTGCTACATACCTTCTCAAATGTCCAGTCAGCTTTTGAGTAAGAGCAACTAGCCAATTCAGAAGACAGTTTTTTTTCACAAGACAGAGTTTTCGCTACTATTATGCCATTAACTTAGAGTGACTACCTATGGATGATAGCAGGTCATGATGTTTCAGGCATGCCACAGAAATCACAGGAGAGTCCTGCCTTGGGGAAGCAGACAAACTTGATTAAACTTATTGTCTATACCATTGCTGATTACCAGGGGGTGCTTCCAGGAGTACTCAAAGCAGGGCGCCTCCTAGATGGTGCCCTGCTAGATCATGTTCATTCAAACTATTGCACAGGGGCTTTATAGGACAAGTTAAGATTTTTATGCTAGATATGTGCCTAGAGTTTGCTACTACCTGCAGTTTCTGCATGATGTATTTGGTGGATGTAGCTAGCATCCAGCAACTCCAAAATCCTGAAATTGTTGTTGTTGTTTTAGGTCCTTCACAGAGTTTCTCTGTTCCACATAGTTGGTTCAATACTGCCTGCTTTGGTACTAGAAGAAGCAAGTGATTCTCCTTACAGAGTAAAATAGAGGTGTACCTATGAACTCCAGCTATGTCCACTCAGATAAGCTTCTTTTCCAGTAACCAAACTGCATCTCTGTTTTGTTTGGAATGGGTGATGAGGTTTTCATTCTTGCATGGTATAATGACCATCTGCCAGACCTTAACCACATTGTAAAGAAGATGATTTGATTGTGTGCCAATGTTAGTCAACAGACAATGTGAAGGAGACAGATGATGAAAATTGGAATTGATATGCAGGAGAGGTTGCCCTTGGCTGATAGAGTGGAATGGAAATCTTACAAGTTGATTATATTCCTTCTTTAATGCTTTTACTGGATGTATGTGTTTCCACAGGTATTAAACACTCTGTATATGGAAAGACATCATGAGCAACTGGGTACACAACGAGTTAACATCGATTACTCAAACATCTCATTGGATGGTTTTCTCATTCTCTTGCCTTTGACCACTTCATCTTATCACTTTCACCATGCTGAGAACACAGATACTCCCAGGTGAATGATCTAGGTAGAATGTCACAGGTTAACCACTTTCTCGGCAGATGTTGGTGTCTCAGCTGGAGTTTTCTTTTTGCTTTCTTTAAAACTCTCAGTGAGCTTGTGAAAAATTTACAGGTGTCTATTTCTGCCCTGATCCAGTTGTAATTCTGTTTAAAGTAATAACTGAACTTAATACAGAAAGGGTGGTACTTCTTAGGCTTAGCTGACTTTCTAGCTTGAGTGTCAGTCTTTTGGAAGTTGGCTTAAATTGGATGGCTGGCCTAAATGACTTTCTGCTGGTCACTATGGTCTTGTTCCCTGGAAACCAGAACTTAGACATACTGTGTATCTCATATTCAAACCATTCTAAGTGATCCCATAAAATTGGAATTGACCTCTCAATGGCATTGATGAAAGTTTTGAAGTTTTCTCTAAGATCATTAGGTGACTTCAATGTCAACTAACTAACACGGACATATGTTCCATCCAGCCTTCATCCCCTAGCTGATAAAACTTCCCCACCAAAGACCTAACTTTTAATGCAAACATCTTGATTACATGTGCCTCCTGTACATCACCTACAGGCTACTGAGCTATCTTGTGCCATGCCATGCAACAGGATCTGAGCCAAAGAGATGACTTCCATTTATTCTCTTCTCTGATCTGATCATCTTGAGAAAATTGCTGCAGGACTGATCTCAAAATTGCATAGTAAGCCTGTAACTCTTTGTCTAGGGATAGTAATCAGATAGTGAGGTGGTTGTCTAGTCTAGGACTGCCTGAGAAGGCCTGGTGTGCAGTCAGCATTCCAATTCATTCTAATGGTATTTAGTGGGGTTGAGGTCAGGGCTCTGTGCAGGCCACTTGAGTTCTTCCACACCTTGGCACACCATGTCTTTATGGACCTGCCTTGGTACACAGGGGCATTGTCAGGCTGGAACATTTTCGGCCTTTTAGTTTAAGTTGTGGGAAGTCTTAAAGCTACAGCATACATTCTAGACAATCGTGTGCTTCCAACTTTGTGGCAACAGTTTGGGGAAGGCCCACATATGAGTGTAATGGTCAGGTGTCCTTATACCTTTGGCCATATAGTGTATATCCAAATTACTATTAAAGTTTTAGTGCTCTTGTTGCTTTAGGTTGTGTGTGTGTGCCTTCTGTATTTTCACTCACATGGACAATAGAACCTATTTTGATTAGCTAAAGGGCTGATCTTGTTAGGTATGTTAGAGCAGGAAAATTATCAAATTATGCTGGCCTTCCAGGACTGGAGTTGATGACCCTGCTGTAGAGAGACACATATGAATAGAAATTGTCTGCTATGAAAAAGATAACCACTGAATATTTACATATGCTTATATTACACAGGCAGCACTTTACAACTACAGATACAATGCTTAAAAATACAAATTAATACATGAATAATTGATTGCCACATTCTATCTAGTTCAGATGGTCTTTATCTATCATTCTCATTTACTACTCATGCCCTCTGTAATTGGCTTCACAGTTTCCTCGTTTACAGCTTCGTTATTTAAGCTCCCTATTTCACCCCCTGGTCCCCTGTTTCGTAGAATTTCTAAGCTGTAATTCATAAAAGACCAACACCTTTGTATCTTCTAGTACAGGGGATTTCAAAATCTTTGCAACCTGGAGCCCTGCAAAATAAATTCCACAGACCCCCTCAATATAGTTTTAAAAAAATAACAAATCCAAATATTAGGCTGATTATATAAATTGTACATAATCATTATTTGGCTATTTTTTTGGAGCCATAGAGCATTTAAAACCTGAACGTTCCACAAACAGGACACATTAGGTAGGTCCAAGTGATGATTTTATAGTACTACTTGTTTTTGAGTTATTAAGAAAACCATGAAGCCCCAGGCTAAGCTTCATGGACCCCTGTTCTATCCACTTTGTATGGTGTCCCTGGGTTTGACCCTTATGTGTTTTCCTGGTTTATATTTGCTATGTCTGTTCCCTGATTTTGACTGTGGACTTTGCCAGTGTTACTTGAAAAACTTGATAAAACTCTGCAGTTGAAACCACACATGTCTCCAGAGTTCTCCTTGATACTGTTTTGATAAAAAACAGCATGAGAGATGTGAGCTAAGCTGGGAACTTGAGCACATGGGTCAAGTATTCATCACAGAATGCTCCAGGAAAATGAGACCCTCTTTAAATCTCTAAAAGCCTTGGTTTAATGTGGTTACAAAGCACATTATTTTGGGTAAAAATGTATGTAAAGTCTCACATGGTTAGTCGCTTAGTTAATGTGACCAGCAAGTTATGATAGGGTATTTATAAAGGAAAACAAAAGGGGCAACTT